GCTGGCTTTGCCCGGGGTGGGGAGGGGGTCGCGTTTCCATCCAGTGGCCGTACCACTAAACTGACAAGGGGAAGAAGGTGTCGCTTCGCTTAAAGGTGGTCCTTAGGGCCAAGGAGCTCTCATCTGTCAAAACGTGAGCCAAAGGAATTTTTCTTTTTCTTTAGGTAGAGCAGTGCTTGAAGCGCCTATGGAAAATGAACTTGGTGGGTTGCATTGAAACCCTGGCCGGACTCATTCCCAAGTAAGTATCGTGACCCTGTGTGTTACGCTACCCGTTAACTCTGTCTTCAGAGCTAAAGGAGAAAAGGCTAGAAACGCCAGATCATAACCATCTCCTCATCCTTGTATCGACACAGGAAAAATAAACCCCACGCCCACGGGGAGTGCTTCGTTCCCAGCCAGCCTATGATGGAAACAGTTGCTGTGAAGGTTTTGGGAGGTTGCAAGCTCTTACTGCGTCTGCTGGACTGTTGCTGCAAAGCATTTCTGTATCCTTTTTCCCCGTAAAAGCATTCTTACAGATCACCAGAAGCACCTCATGAGGCCAGATCTGCTGTAGGCCGTGTATTGCTGATGGACTCAACCATGCAATTCATGTTGCTGGAGTTTCCTTGACAGCCAAACAGCATCTTTTTAAGTTGTTATGGAAGAACCTCAGGCTGTTGGCTGGCTGCTGTTCTGGCCTCGAGCAACCCAAAGTTTGGCCAAATTATCCAGGATATTACCTTGTGAATTGCCTCGAGTTGGCGTGTTCAACAAGTCTCATTACATGCTGTTTGTTTTTTAACCTTAACTGGTGTAATCTTCAGCTTGTCAGTTAAACATCTCTGCTCAGAAGAATTCATACTTTTGAACACTGTGGCTTCAGGGTTGTTGAGCCGGCTATGGTTTGTGTTTTCAAAAGTCTCTTGTTTGTTTGACACAGTCTCTGTCTGTTTGACATGCCTGTCAGGTAGAAGGGCTTGTAATTAGGCCTTGCTGCTGAGTGAGCTTTATTCAGTTGGGAGGTGGGGGAAGGATCTGGGGAATTAGAAGTCCTTCCATCCCTTTGGACCTGATTCTAGCACCTGAAGGGTTGTATAACTGGAGACTTCTTGCTTGCCCTTTTGGAAGGCTTTGTACTCAGTTCATTGCAAACTTTACGTAGCGCTAATAAAACCAGCGCTAATGCCAGCCTGCCACAAACACTACCACCTGGTACTCTTTGCAGTGAGCAATAAGACTTGCCTCGTGCTGAAATGGAAAGGCTGAGATAAAGCTGTTCTATATATATTACTACTGAGTTTTCCAGGGAAGTCATTGTTCCAGTCTGTCTCAGTCCTGCAGAGCAGCTCTGAGCAAGTAACTGCTGTCTGTAGCTGAAGAAATAAGCGTTGTGCACAAGAACTCAGTAACGGCGTTTGGCACACGAAATCTGTCCTTCTCCAGTTATTATGGAGCAGGAGACCACGTGGGCATCAGTGCTAGCACAGTTGTCCTGAGTTGGTACGCACTGCTTTTTTGGGAAGACCTCCTGTTGAATGATTTAGGTGTGACCTGGGAACCTGCTGAGTGCCCGGTGTGGCACTCCACGAAGCTCTAGGGAAGTGGAGGGGCTCCCAAACACGGCTTATTAGTTGAACGAGTCCTGTGCTCTGAACTTGAACGTTGCCTTAAAGATGGAGGGCACGTCGACATGAGGAGCTCAGACTAATATTAAGGAAAATGTGGTGATGGAGCGCAAAAGAAAAAGCTTGTATTGAGGGGGGACAGGGAAAGGGCTTCTTGGAACCTGTTCCATCAGCTCCTTCTCTCAAGCTGAAGGTAGTCATTTAGTGAGCACAAGCTATGAGGGTTTTGCTAGAGATGCCTCCATACTGTTCGATCTTATCTCCTCAGGATTCAGTACAGGTGTGTATTGCAGAGCCTCATTTCCTTATACGAGGTGTTGTCGACAACACTGCATCTCGTGTCGAAGACCCAACAGATGCCTTATATCAAGGGATTTACCTTCCCTTCTGACATCAGTGACTTTCTTGGAGTTTCTCTCTCTTCTGAGGTGAAGAAAAAAAAGGCCAAAACACTTACAGCCGCAAAAAGTGCCAGCTGGCTGAAGAAGCTCTTCCCAGCAGTGCCAGAGGCAGCATCAGAGGCCAGGAAAAAGAGAGATTTGGCGACCTGCGCAAGTGTTGTGGAAAACAAGAGCATCCCGTGCCCTACAGACATCGGAGAGCCAGTTCTGGTTACCAGAGCCAGCAGAGGTAAAGCACTGTGCCACAGTGCTACTGGTCTCTGGCACCTCAGAAACTGCCACGGACCCCAACATCTGTCCAACAGAGCCAAGTGCTACTGCCACCCACAGAGTTTGGTCCCGGTACAAACTCCCCTCTTCCGTCCTTGGACAAGGAGGATGCTCTCATGTACCTGTGTCTTTACAAAGCTGTAGATGATGTCAGTGTTGCTGTAACGAGTACAGTAAATAGATCCTGTATATAGTCATTAGTGTTTTCCTGCCTCTTTAAAGACGGGCCCAAGGAGAGTGAGGGAAGCTAAGAGAACTGTCTGTAGTTCTTATGTGCTTGTGTCTTGTGCCTGCTAGTTTTGGGCTGTCCCCAAGCAGTCATGGGGTACGGCCAGTGTCCGCAGGCATCCAGCTGCTTGTGTGAGGCTTTCCCTGATGGAAGTCTCCTTTACAGCCATCTGTAACTCACTAAATCCTCTTCATCCCCTGTCAGTGGTCACATGAGATGAGTGTAGTCCCCTTCCCCTCCATTGCTGTTTGGACCAGAAGTGTTGAGTATGCAGGTATGAGGCTGCTGACAACAGCAAAACGCTTCAGGGAAGACTTGAGCCTGTCCTCATTTCATAATGGCAGCTCTCTCTCTCGCTGCAGGGAAGCACCTGGAGTTTGATGTGAAGAGCTTGCTTAGACCATCCAGAGGTCCAGCCCAAGAGGTTTGTGGCACCATTTTACACCATTTTTTATAACTTTAAAAGACTCTTAGACTCAAAATGTGACATTTGTGATTGAAAATGTGTCGTCCCCTCCCTCCCTCCCTCCTAGAATGCCTACTGCTAAAGCACTAGCTGTGTTTTCCTCAGTTTGGCTTTTTTGACCGGTCAGGTCAGCACGGAAGTGTTGCATTGAAAAACACTATTAATCTTTTCTTTATGAGTTTGAGCATGTATTGGTATCTTATTCTTTATTTCACAGAGGGGAAATACAAGTGAAAACACAAGAGCAAGTCAGTGGTAGACAGAAATACAAATTTTAATGGTCTGCCTCTTTTGGTATTCCAGTAAACAAGACTGCTCTTCCACTTGCTCCTTATAAAGAAAGCTGTCACAAATAACTCAAATGCTCTGCTTCCCTCCAACAGAGGATCAGGTGTGTTGTGTTTTTAAAAGGCTAACTACTTCCATTTTGCGCATTGTTTCAGGATTTAAGCATCATTTCAACACCTTCTAAAGCAGAGTCAGTGTCACTTTGTTCTCGTATAGCAAAATCACAGCATACTAGATCTCTTGTACCGATGTTTCAAAACGCTACCTCTTTCGGGGAACTGTCAGAGGCACTCAGAAAAGCTATTCCGTGGTGCAAAGGCAACAAACTCAAATCAGAAGCTTATTTTCTGCGTAACAAGTTACTGAAAAGCAACCGGCTGCACCATGTGGAGGCTCAAGGATGCAGGTAACTTTACATGCGTGTGGTGTTTCTTGGTCTCATACTTCATATTTTAATAATGTGTATTTTGCTACGGTGTAGGGAGATGCAGTGGTGTTACCCATTTTTTTAATTTAAACAGGATCAACAGTTCTGGCCGCTAGGCATTCTGACAGGAATACATTGTTTAGCATCAGTCACTTGGGAAAGGATTTAAAACGTTAACAAATGTATGAGTACATAACTAAGAGGGAGGACGAACACGCACCTTAAACTGTGTGTGTCTAATGGGTAACTATTATATAGCGTAAGGAGCGTTGGCTTGCTTTTGAATGCCCTGTTGCAGCTCCAAGGTATGATAAGGAAAATGGTAGAGAAGGCTAATACCAAATCTCTCAAAACATCAAATAACCTATTTTTAACAGCTGCTCAAGTAATGTTTTGTGTACCTTCCTCCCCTTAAGCTTGCAGAAAAAACTTCGCTGTGTCAAAACATCTGTCTGTAAATACCTCCTCTCTGGCTCACAAAGTGCACGCTGGCCAAAGCAATACCTTGGCGCGTGGTTCTGTCGAAGAAAGATCAAATCCTCCAAGCGGTCAAAGAAGACTCTGAAGACTGTTCAGCAAAAACCTCCTCGGCTTTCTGGAGTCTGTGAGAGCAGTGCTTCATTCTTCCCAGTTTACCAACCTGGGTCTTTGCGTCACGAAGGACGTGCCAACGCTGATATGGCCACTGGAGAACGAAGCAAAGCAGAGAACCCTATGCGGCTGCTGCTGGAAGAAAACCCTGGCTCTATGCTGAAAGAAGCTACTGAGGCCATGGATATCGATTCTATTTTTGCAGCAATGGGTGTCTGATCCTGGGCTGGGACCAGGAAAGGGTTAAGTCATTCTGATCTTCTTTGCTTTTTTTTTAATTAAAATCCTCAGAACCCTGACAGTGGCTTGGTTACTCACGCCCTGAATTCTACTCAAGTAGGGTTGCACTGCTAAGAAAGTAACGATTATGTTAAACTAAGATTTTTGTCAAGCCACTTACTGTGGAAGAGTGCCCCCAACCAGCCTTCGTCTGTCCCGACTAGCCTTCGTCTTTTGAGCTAACCTTGTCCAGGAACAACGGCTTTGAGTTACCTCAAACTCAGGCCCCCTTCTCTACTGCGGGACCACACGCTAAGTGCTACTGTCAAATCTGCAGTGCAAATAAACCATACAGGGCAGAAGGCTGCAGCTGGTCACCTACTGACTGCTGCTTAGGATAAAAGACTTGCTGCTTGTTTTCTAAGGAAGTCTTCCTTCTGCTTATATTGAGGACAGCCTTGACTTGTAGCGTTATCACTGTTCAGCGTTTGTTATCCTCATCCTGAAAGGGGGAGGGCGGGGGGAAGGGAGGGAGGCTAGCTGAATCTACCATATGCCTTTGAGCTGCTCCAGAAATGGTACCAAGCTGACTGCAACAGTCAACTCGTTACCAGCAAGCATGTCTCCCACCATCTTCCAATCTCTTTAATGTAACTACAGTTGCTGCCTGCTTGGCAAAGTAAGGAGGAGCTACTCCACCATCCATTGAGGGAATAATACTCATTAGAGCAAGAAATGCAGTTAGTGCTTTCTGTCTGGGTCTTGCTTGTAATTAAGGCTCAAGATCTGGCTCTCCTGGAAAGACTTAAAAAAAAAAAAAAAACCATCTCAGATTGAAGGGCAGCACTCAGCTTTATTGTGGAGCACCCGTCTAAGAGGGGAAGGAGAAGGCAAGCATCTAAGGGCAAGTAAATTTGGGATAGGTGAATCCCCATTTCCTAGGGAGAAATGAGAACAAGAGAGCTGTGTCCACTGAGGCAGAAGGAAAAAATGAGCTTCCTACCAGACTAAGAATACTTAATCGTTAGTGCTAAGAAATCCACATTATGCAACTTGTGTGAATTCGTCAGTGAATTTTAGTTACGAGGCCTGGCGTGAGCTTAAGATGTTTTACTCAAAGAGCATATATGGAGCAGGGACAGGGAAGAGAACAGAAATTCTAATGGTTTGTGCTCGAAGGCACAGTTTGTCCAGTTCTCCGAGATCCATTTTCTAGGTCTCCTGCGAAGGGAGCATCTAATAATGACTGAAACAGTTGGAAAGAATCAGTTCTCATTAACCCTCTAGATACCTGATAGAACACAGTCCTACTTCAAACACACTTGTCACCATTACAAGAACCTTTAGAGCTCACTTTCACACTTCTTGAGTTTTATAAAATGGTATAAAAATACCTAAGTATACCACATACAGTCAGATAAAATTAGAAGGCTTCGATACTTCTTTGTAAAGGCCGAGAGCCGAGGCAGACATCCCAGCACTGATCTCCATCCTGGAAAAAAAACCTCCAACAAATACATACTAATTCCTTGCTTTTGGGAAGAAGGTGCCCAAGCTGTGCCGCGTGCACAGAAGATCAAGATCCATAGTTTGCCTCATCAAAGGCCTTTCTGGCCCGCTTCAGTTCTTCATTCATAGTCAGGAGGTCCTTAACTCTGGCAAACTTCCGGGGGTCCTTGCGGATTAGAAAGACAATGTCCTCAACCTGTACACGACCCTGCCGCCCAATTGACATGGCCTTGTGCGTCTGTCAGAGGAAGAAGCAAAAGTTACCAGTGTGCCTTTGACCCTGACTTATTTTTTTCAACTCTCAATTCCATTTTATTCCTTGTCACTTTATAAGCCAAAGGTAAGCAATTTCAGGATCTGGGCACCATCATCCTACTCACAGACACACTCCCGAGTGCACTCCTGTGAACTTTTTGTCAGTCTACTATTCCCAGCTCCTTGACACCTACACCTGGTATGTGCCGTTATACATACAGGATCTTAATGACATCAAAACTAAAGCCATGCTACACATAGGGGAGACCAAACCTGCAGAGCGCTTGAGAAAGAACAGCATCAAGGCGAATTTGCATGCAAAAGACAACACCAAATCTGAGGACAGTTTAGGCATTTTCATAAGTGAAGGCAAGGCCAACCTTTCAAGAGAAACAGGATTTTCAAACAGCAGGAAAGACTTGAGTAAAAAAACAAAAAACAAAAAACCCTCAAACAGCATCCAAACAGCAGGATCAGTGATTGCTTAAGGCAGCAGAACCTTGTATTCGTTTTGTGGGACAGAATTGCTTTCCCATCCTTGTAAAAAAACTGAGCAAACACAAAAGTAGATCAACTTTCAAAGCTGACCCTCATCTTCTGTCAGCTGTATACGCAGTGATGCCACAGTGGGCTACAAAGTCAGCTGTGCCTGTAAAATATCAGTCTAACTGCCCCTTACAGATGAAGGCCCTGTTCCAAATCCACATGGAGCAAAATGCATTAGTTTCCACTGAATCTTCGAAGCGCAAAGGCTAACGTGGGATTCTTCCTACTAGCATCAGAGTTGTTGGCCTGGGCTAATCCAGTTGGGTTAGAAGTATTAGCCTACAGAAAATTAAAATCTTAATGAGGATCTTCGAATCTGATTTAACACCTTTAGAAAACAAATTCATCCCTTTTCGTTGAGATATGTTCTGCTAGGAACATCCTATCCTCTGTCCAATCGTGGTGTAATAATCGGTGCATCTGAAATACTAGCAAGAGCTGTTTTTTTGATCGTGACATCTAAATTTGACTTACCATTTCTGTGATGAACTCTATTACCAGATCCTCGAGAATATCCACTGATTCTGTGTAAGGGTTCTGGTCATCCCCAAATCCATACATCATGCATCTTACTGCAGAAAGAAATACTCAGCATGATCCTCCTCTTATTTTTTTTCTGGTCATTCAGCACAGCCAGCAGCATGCCTCTAGTGCTTTAGGCTTACTAGTCTACAAGTTCATGCAGCAGGACGGCATTCC